AAATGGGAGGCTGGGAGGAGGCGGAAACTTTTTTTCCTATTCTCAATAAAAAAAATTATTTTATATGCCTATATATATATATAGTTACTGTGTGATTATTTTGGGTCTAAGCAGTCAGGAACAAATGAGCGACCTCCTACAACAAGTGGCTGAGATGGTGGGTCCCAGGGTGAGTTGGTGTTCCTATAACCAAGACAGAGACAACAGAGGACACCTGGATACTCCTCAGGCTCAAACAGAAGAGTGTGCCTGTACATGTATGGATACCATACATATGCACAGAGACATATATACACAGATATACACACATGTACACACCATGCACAGTAACAGACATCTACAAACACACACATTAACATAGAGACATGTATAAACACACACACACATACATTCACACTAATATGGGAAAATGGCAGGAGGCAGTCTCACTTGGCACAGAAGCAACCCATGTGGGAACATTCTGAGCTCTTCTACTGTGTGCTGTCTGTGGGACAGCAGGCCACCCAGCAAAGGTCTGCATGTGAGGACACTTTCTACAGTGCCAAGGGGAAACAGCTGCAACACTCCTAGTGGTGTTAACAAGAAGCAGCCTCACAAATGGGTGCTGCCAGGGCTATGCAACAGTCACACAGACATGAAAAACAAGGAACTCGTGCCGGAGAGGAGGCTCCGCCACTAAAAACACTTCTTGATTTTGCAGAGGACCCAGATTCGATTCCCAGCACCGACATGGCAGTTCACAACAGTCCATAAGTCCAGTTCCAAGGGATCTGGTGCCCTCATCTGACCTCCTCAGGCACCTGGCATACACGTGGTGCACAAATGTATACACCAGCAAATCACACACTTAAAATAAGAAAATCTTAAAGAACAAGAAAGGCATGTCTGTAACAAAAATTTGACAGTTTCTTTGTCATATATTCTTTCATGATTAAAAGGGCAATTAACATAATTTAATTTTCATTTTCTTACTTATTTTGTATGCCTTCTTGTCTATCTATCATCTACTGATTTATGTACCAGAAAAAAAATAATCTAGGCGTATCTGACCAGGAGAGTGCTGAGCGTGAAAGGATGTAAGACACAGGGTCAGGGGGATAGGGATGCCTGTTTTTTTGCATCTGGCTTTTGTCCAACACGCCCCGTGTGCTCCTCTAGCAGAAGAGGATGGAGCGCATCTCAAGTGCAGCCATCTTCCCTCTCAACACTGGATGAGAAGAGGCACAAATGGTTCCCCAGATTTATTTCCTAAAATGTCTGCAAATAAGCCACAGCCAAATGAGGCACGCTTACTTTAGCGACAGCTAACAGGCTGCCAGTCATCTGGAATCCCACTTCTCATCTCCAAGGGAGGAAAAGGAAAAGAAGACCCTTCCCCAGGTCCCTCTGAGTGGCATTAGAGACACAGGGACAATGTTTCCAGCTGGGTCTCAGAACAGAACCAGCTAGGTTCTGACCTGGCTAAAGGGGTTCCTGGGCTCCCAGTAGACTCTTTGGTACTCCAGTTCTCTACTTTGAGATTCTAGGACTGCAGCACACACACACACACACACACACACACAGAGAGAGAGAGAGAGAGAGAGAGAGAGAGAGAGAGAGAGAGAGAGAGCCAGGACAGTGCACACATTCTCTATTTCAACAAAACGCAGGGCCTGTAGCAGGAGGCAAGGCAGGAGGTCTGCCTGGGAAGGCCTGTCCAAGCTCTCTTCTCTAGAGACGCTCTCTCAGCCCTGAGCTCATTCTCTTCCACTCTCCGGTTTCTCATGAGTTTTCTACAGTATTTATTTTCTCATTTGAGAGGACTGGGGATGGAACCCAGATCCTTTCCATGCTACGTAAGTACTACAACTCAGAGAAACCCAAAGATTAGAGGGGGTCTAGGCTCCATTCAAGAGAAGTAAGCAGAGAATTTCCCTCACCCCTGCTTTTTGCTCCCAGATAGACGGTGCTCTTGACATGCGAGGCAGCCATGGATGCCAGTGTAGCCAAAATTAATAGAAACTGTCATCCTATATTCAGAAAAATCAAAGGTAACAATTGCTGAAACTCAGTCCAGAGAAAAGGACAGCACTGAATCCATGAACTGCTGTTTTAATCAACAAATGAGCATGTTCTAGCAAATTCCATCCCATCAGTCACAATTCACAGTGGAAGTTCACAGCAGAGCCAGTGCCGGGTATAAAGAATTAAGTGGGACCCACACAAGCAACCCTTATTAAACTAAATGGGCTATTTTAAAAAAAAATAATTTAACACAGACGTGCACATAGGCAGGAGTGGGGAGAAAGGCTCTGGGAGTGGAAGGGGCTTAGGAGAGGAGAATGGGGTGGGCATGACTGAAATACGTTGGATACATGCATGAAATTGTCAAAGACAAGTGAAAATTATTTTAGAAAAAGAACTGTCTAGTCATTCTTAATCACAAAAGTGAGCGTTTAAAACACGCAAACAGATGCATATATTGCTTTAGTTCTTCAACTCTTGAGAATGTCCCCCAAAGTTCAGCACCCTATCATACAGAAAAAGGTTACTGGTGAACAAGCACTGGCAGGCTAGGATGTCACACCAGAAGAATTAGGG